CTGTGCTGCTCGCCCTCACCCAAATCCCGAGGGGCAGTGGAGAGACCTCTCTGGTGCCCCGGGAGCACCTCTGCCTCTGCGCGCCCTGCCTAGCCTCCTGCCAAAGCCGCCGTTCCCGCAGCACGCCACTCGCTGCTGCTCCGCCCGTCCTAGCCCTGCGGTGGGTTTCTGAGCGGTTCCCGGCGGGCTCCCAGGCGTACTCACCATCTTGCCCCCAGTGGCCCTCATGTGCTGCTGCTCTGCCAGCCAGTGCTTATCTTGCGGGTCGGCTGCGTACTGCAATAAAGCAGCAAGGACCTAGCTGAACACAGGTGACAGACCTTCCACTCTGACCACCCTCCTGCTGGGACGCTGCGCCCCGCTCCAGCGGTCCTGCCAGCACGCTGCTCCCCGCAGTGCTGCCCGCTGGGGGCTGCTGGCAGGAGGGCCCAGCTCTGCCTGCTGTCTCTCCAACCTCAAGCCCTGGCTCCGGGCAAACCCACCACCTTGGAGGCTGGGCTAAGCCATTAATGTATATTCCAGTGTGCTAGCCAGACTGTGTGTGTACGTGCTCTAAGACAACAAACAAGGGTGTGGGGAAGGAAGAAGACAAGCGAGCTGAAGCACACGCTCCCGATTCCCATCAGAAACCGTTTCTGAGCAAACCCTGAAGGAGGACGTGTCCTGCTGCGGCATCTGACCTTAAAGAGGTGGGGATGCTTGATGTAGAGTCGCCCTCTTGTTCCTCCCATCCCGAGAGCTCTGAAAGAGGAACATGAGGTGGTGTTACACCTCTGCGGCAGGCGGCTGCGGCGGTATGAGGACACCTCCTCTCCTCCCCAAGCCCTTCCTACTGCTTTCAAGGCAGAGAAGCGAAGTGACGGGAGGAGTCTTACGGGCTCCTGCCTTGGAGACACCACCCTCCATTGACAGGGCCATTCCTTACTTGTTTGCTCGAGATCCCAGCACAAAGGTTGTGGTTTCAGTCAGTCGGGATGGATCCCACTACAGAGCAATTGGAAAAGGGGCAACATTAGAAATGAAGCTGGTGCCAGCCCATGCTCCATGAGCCTCAGCTCTCTGATGGAGAACCTCGGGACCGCCCCCAGCCTGGGAGGGAGAGAGCTGGCCACAGACCTCCAGACTTCTGCAGAGGAGGGAAGTTACATCCCCCTGGGCAGATCTAGGCAGTTTCCCTCAATGGGAAATGCTTGCGGGATCCTCCTGGCTACTACTGCTCTCCCCAGGTCTCCTAACAGCAGCAGCACACCGTAGAGCTACAGACTACAGTGCCTGGAGGAGACAAGCAAAGGCCTCCAGGCACTTCGCTCCTCTTCTTGCTTCTCCCCTGCGCTACAGGGGCCTGTCGGGGCAGAGCACAGCTCTGTGCTGTCCTCCACTCCTGCAGCAGAAGGGCTCTGCTGGCAGAAGCAAAGGGGAGGAGAGGGTGAGCCCAGCAGTGTTGGCCAGCCAATACCTTTGGTCCATCCCTTCTCACGGGCTCAGAGACTTTGAGCTTCCACCTGAGGGGAAGGAAAAATGCAGTAAGAACACGTCCCTGAGGGACCAGCGCGGTCACCATCACAGCACCAGCAGCAGGGATCAAGCCCCAGCCTTTCCAGGTCTGCCTCTGTTCACACCCTCCATTCCCCCACAGTGCCAAGCTCCAGAGCCTCATCTTTGCTGCACGTTCTCCTCTTCCTGGCTGCCACGATCCCACCACCACCACACTGCTCACTCTGAATGGTGCATCTGGACCTTTGCACCCCTTTGGGCCTGTTTAAAACTGCTTCTTTGAAGGTCTTTGCCTCCTGGGGGGAACAGCTCAACCTAAACCCCTCCTGCCCTTCCCCTGGCACTCTCCCTGCACCTCTCCTTTCTGCAGGAGGGGGAGGAGACCACAAGGTTTCTGCACTCCCCAACTCAGGCAGCCTCATCTACGCCCTGCCCTCCCAAAACAGGGGCTCTAGCTCAGGACCCATACTCACGCAGTCATGCCTGAGACTCCGCGATCGTTTGACAGGCTCTGTCCTGGAGGCCGCCCCTTTCTCTGCATGAAAGAAATCCCTCAGTGACTCAGCTGTGCTGGCTGAGAACCCTCTCAATTACCCTCCCCCTCTGAGGGAAACTGCTCTTTTTGTCACGAGCAGAAATGCTGGCTTGCACGAGTGTGAGCACCTCCAAGGCACCACAAAAGCCGCCTGTGCACCTGCACACGCTCATACTGTGGGAATGGCCAGGAACAAGGAACAGGCTTCCCGAAACATAAAATCCTTTGTGCGGAAAACCCTCCTACCTTTTTAGGAATAGGGCTCCCTCGACGATTCAGCTCCTCATCCATCTGTCGGGCACGCTGGAAGAGGAACAGCAGTGGGATGAGCAGGGCCCTCCTCCCTGCATAGTTGTGCAGGGCCCCACGCATCCAGCTGGCCGCTCTCCTTTGCGGGGAAATGCTGACCCCACCCCGTCTCGGTGAGAAGCACCGAACCGCAACAAGCAGCGACTGCGCCTGGGATTTTCCTTGCCCTGCAGGTAGTGCTTCCTCCTAGCCTGACATCCCCCAGCCCTGCCTCCTCGCTAGTGCACTGACAGACAAGAAGAGGCAGAGAACAAAGTAATTCCAACTCTTGTCCTCCTTCTTCCAGCTCTTGCAAGTCATTTAAGCCTCTGGGAATAATAACAACTTTTACCTTTGGTACTGCCTGCTCGTGGGGCAACCTGGGAACAACCTTTTTGCCATCAGAGAACAGCAGTTTGGCCTGCAGGTAGAGAAAGAAGGGTTACCCAATTCTGGGCCCAGAGAGGGGCCTGCCAGCAACGCCCACTTTCACGTATCTGCTCGAAGGCCCTGTAACAGCTCTGCTTTCAGAGTGCTGCCATGCAGTGCTTTCACTGATGACGAGCTGCAAAAGCACAATTTCAGTGTGATAAAGTCTGAGCCACTGGGACAAAAGCAAGACGTGAAAGTTCCACCCCGCCCAGGACTCTCTGACGGGTGCCAGGGGGCCGGTCTCTGTGGAAGCTCCAGCCGTGCGACATGTGCCAACAGCAGCAGTGAAAAGCACCTGATGACAATGAAGCTGATCACAGCAACCACAGAAGGGCTGTGGATGTCCTCCCCGGCTAATGGCCAAGCTATTATGAGGGCTATGTCCTAGATGGGCAGCTCTGCTCAGCCAGGCGCCAGGCTCTGCTGAGGGAGCGGAGCCCCTCGCTAGCGCCCACCTGCTCAAGGCAGCTCCGACACGTCTCTTGGATGAGCTGCTCCGGGTCCACCTCATCCCCAACATTATCGCGCACGTTGATTGCTGCCTTCTGGAAAAACTGGAGGAGAGGCGGCAGAAGAGGTAAGCACCTGAGCACACAAGGGCAGGCAGACGGCCCAGCTGCGCCCACACACCAGCAGCCTCGCGTGGCACCTGGGAGTGGAGCTCTCTCCACAGAGCCCGCGGTGGGATGGGGCAGCGGGGCCCATCCGTCCCTGAATCTCTCACCTTCATGTACTTGTTGAAGACGCCCCGGATTTCCTCGTTGATGCTGGGCTGCAGGACTGCCCGCAGCAGGTCCATGGACACAGCCGGGTCCGTGAAGCTGAAGGAGGAGGAGTGAGGTGGGGGGCGCGGGACCCTCCCGGCGCCAAGCTGGTCTCACCCGGATCCTCCCCT